CTGCACTTGCTGCGGCAACTTCTACAGCCGACGCTTTTGGACCTGATGCAGTCATATGTTCTCTGAACACAGGGACAAAGTCATCAATCCGATCGGCAACATGGATTCGCGCTGCATTAGCAGTAACCTGAACATCATCAACAGTCTCAGCGAGATATGGCCATTGATCTGGTATCCAAATGAAGGGCTTTCCTGACGCAACAATCTGCCCCATTGAACGCACAAGTGGACAATCATCCATCATGTTGAACTGAGCCTCCCCAAAATGGTTTCCTGTCAACTGCACACATGTATCACTGGTGTATGAACCATTCCCTGTTTCCAATTTTGTTGGTGGAACCCCGATAAGGTTTTGGTTGACCATTTCTTTTGAGAACCCTTGCTGTGCAAACGCTCAATCAGAATCCAAGTCACGACCTGCACCACTGTCTGCTATCCACTCAAGCTTGTGAGAGACCTGTCTGGATGATTGTGCATATAGTGCAATTCTATTGGAAAGGATCGCAGGCATACATGTTGTAAATTTCCTCTTGGCCTGGGCCTCCAAAAAGGCCCCGTCAAGTCTGGAAATTTTGTGCCTTTTCCTGGGTTTGGGGCCCTATTTTTTGGGAGTTGCTGGTGTCTTTCGTCACACGGAAAAAATTGGCACATACATGGGAAAGCATCTGTGACACCGACGCCGAAACTGGCACACACTATAGCCTGGGTGGCTGCACCCTGTGGCTCAGTACATCCAACTGCAAACGACGGAATACATGGGAAGGCATCTTTGACACCAGCACCAAAACTGGCTGCGCCCTGTGGCTCAGTAGGTCCGACGATACTCAATTCTCTCAACAAACTTTTCAAGATCCTTGGCTGTATAAGCATCCAACTGCAAATTCAACAAGGCCTTCTGTGTCAAGTTACTGCCCCTGTTCAGACGAGACGGAAGTGCTGAGCAAGCATGTACAAAAAGGCTCTGCCACGGGGAGCACATTGAGCCATTTGGCAAGACTCGGCATAGGATTGAAACTTCATTCCAAGCTCACCTTTCAAATGACGACAGTCCATAAGAAGAGAACCAAGATGGGAATCCAATCGTGGCAACAATCCGCTATCAGAAGCATATTCAGAGATGCCCCTACTTTCCTCAAAGGCTTCCATCACCCGGAATGTGTTCCTCCAGGCTCTAAACTCTGAGATGCTGTAGTTGGCAAGTTTTCCAAACGAATCAATGGCAAATCCTTTGATCGATACACATCTTTCTCGGCCATGAAACCCAAAATAATGGAACCAATCCCGATGGATGCATGACCCTGGCCAATTGATGACCCACCCCGCTGAATCGGTGGGGCTCCGTCTCCAGGATTTCCCCCACCACCACCATCTCTACCTCTCACAGCATCTGACGAACTGCTGCTCGATCCTCCAGGTGATTGTGATCCTGATGGCCATGGTGCAGCCAGTGTCGATGGTGTGGATTTACTCGGCGTATTGGTGACTGATGGATGAAACCCGGCACATGCAGACATCTGGGACAATAGGGTATTGTGTCCAACTGGAGTGTACAAAGGAATCGGCACTTGCGATGGTGCAACCGGCATTTGAGTCATCATTGGCACCGTAGTCTGACCTTGCAGCATGGGAATCTCATTCCTCCATTTCATGACCACCTGCATTTATTCACTATCATTCACCGCACCATTTTGGGGATGAGGTTGAGATGATGTTCGCAAAAGGTCAACTTGCTCTTGCAACCCAAGGATTACCGATCGCATCTCCCTTTGTTCATCCTTTTGGAATCGTAGTTGAACACTCTGATCATGGATTGTTTGCATCAAACTTGCATTTTCATTCATCGCTTGGTTCAACCGTTCTTGGGCGATCCGATGAGCATCATGTGCAACAGCCTGCATTTGATCCCTTTGGTGTTTCAACTGCAGATCTTGTATCAAGTCATGGGCCCTCCGCTCAACGGAATGGACATGCGACTGAGCTTGATGGTGAACCTCATTGACCTGATTTCTCATGTCAGTTTTTTCACTTGCAGATTGGGATCTAGCTTCATTCACTGCTGCATGAGCTTGCGACATGATAGTAGCCTCTCGTTCGATCACATGTTCGGGGGAAACACCGAGTGTCACTTGCAAACCTCTGATCCTGACTGTGAGTAGAGGACCTTTGGTCCTGATTCACTTGAGAATCATGCTCATGTTGATGAGTTACTGACCTTTGGTCTTGTTTCACCTGCAACACACTCTGATCATCATGATAGGTTAGCGATCTTTGATCATACACATGCACAGCCCCTGGGCCCCGATGAGTGACCGCTGACCGACCGGAAGGAGGTCTGGATGAGCAATGGCTACTGCTTCTGGACGACCCTTCTGGACTCCTTTTGCTAGTCTTTCGGACGTCTCATGCACGTGTTGGCGAGGGTTGATCAGCAATGTTGATGATACTTGCAGAGACTCTGATGTATCCATCTCCCCACCAGGCATGATTTCATTTATGTGCGGCCTAACGAGAACTCACTAAACTACCACAAATGAACACACCTGCAGTAGGGTTCACCGGTCACACCCTTTTGTTCCACAAGCGGTGTTGCCGTGCGGCAGCGCCCCGCTGAGTTCAGAGCAAAGACACAGTCACTGACTTGTGATTTGCACTCGAAACTGATCTGGATTGAATTTATTACTGGATGTTGTTTCAGAAGGCCAGGGACAATCAACTAGAATGGATTAGAGAACGAATCACAAGCAGCGAGTCACCCAACCTATTGTACGTATAATCTATTTCAACCAGTGGCGGCCGAAGAGAAAATTTGACCAGCGGCCTGGGTCAGATTCCAAACCGATGGGATGTTCTGCTCAACACCAGGTTTGCGGAATACTTTCACGTGGCAAGAGGCAAAATGATCAGCTCGAGCTCGATGGAATTCCACGCAGACTTGTGCCCTGTCGTCTGTGTGAAGTAAAGAACTACGAGAAATGCCGCGGGCAATCAAGTTTCCCACCAAAGCCAACTGCGTCTTCCTGACAAATCACGATCTTGTCAATTGGCAGTGTTGATGGTTGGTTCACAACTTGTCGCTTTCTCCACTCAGAATGCATGTAACTGGTTACAATGACCTTGAATCCTGTATCCCTCAAGCGCTGAACTGCTCGTCTGTTCTCAAGTGGAATTCTGTTGTCCCGTGACGTCGGACGGATTGCACGGTTGTTGGAGATCCGATGGAAATCTAACACTTGGTGGAAATCAATCGAAATGACAGTCACGCCCCAGTTCAGCAATCGCTGTGGGAATGCCAAATAGCCGTCTGTGTTGAACACTGAGCACTTGCGTCTTCGCAATTGGTCTCGATTAACAGTTGGCCTGAGAGTGATTGCCCTGTCCACTCCTGATGGTCTGGTTGTTGCAGCTGACTTCACTGAAACAAGTTCGATCTCTGGAGGTTTGATTGGAATTCGGAAGATTTGGATGATTTTGACTTTGCCACTGCTTTTGCCTTGGTTGTTGCACATACAGCTGAGGATGATTCTGCTGCACCTGAGATTCGTGGCGGAGGTGGTGGTGGCACAATTCTAGATGATGCTTTCGCTTTTGCTACCGGTACTGCACGCACTTCAGATGTCACCACACTAGAAGCTCTTGGCACCACTCTCGTAGCTGAAGACGAATCTGACAGTGGATGATCCGGCTCACGAGGTCGCCTTGGCGGTGGGTGATCCGAGCCCGGTGGTCACCACTGAGATTCCTCCTCGTCTTCTTCCTCCGACTGATCCTGAGGTGGATGCACAGTTTCGGAGTTTCCGCGTACTCCGACTCAAGATCTGAATCTTCAGCACACAGCAACAGAGGATCACCTTGCTTCGGAAACCACCTATTATTAATTATACTTCACCGCGTTCCACGTGTCAGAGATCTGTGTCCGTCTTCTGATGGAAGCAGCGTGTCCAGATGCGCCCGCAGCAAACTGGATGATATACAGATAGTATTCTAATAACGTCAATAGCAACCTCTTACTTGTCCTCTTATGCCGTTTTCCCCGACGATTCCTTCGAAGATGTTCTGAAAACCTCTCTGACTGTTCGTTCAAGAGGCAAGCGATGTCACCAACTGGCACAACCGGACTTCTAGATCTACGCCTGTAATCTGAAGGCCCTGAGCTATCCTGAGCTCATTCAAAACAAACAACGCGGTCGCGGGTTGCAGTGAAACTAAGTCTTGCAGTAGCGGGTCGCGGTGAAACACATTAGTACCTCGAGCCAGGAACGCACAGCAATGACCTTGTCTTGGATTCTTTCTGAACTTCGTTCAAAGGCTTGGGTTCTCACAAAAGGCTTCCTTTGGTCCTTTGGAATCACTTGAGGAGATCGGCAAAATGCACTTACCAAGCAACTCTGTTTTCTATTTTACTCCGGTGCTGCAAAGGGTGGCAGCGCCCCGGGTGCTAGTAATCTGGTTTGTTGGATTAGGGCTCAGCGCTAGTTGGCGATCACTCAATCCTAGATTATGGAGACTGGAAAATTTATGGATTAGCCGGTGTTGCCTTGCTCGGCAGCGCCCCGGCAGTCAAGCACTGTCCTTGGATTTCAAGTAGGGCTCGACTTGCTTTAGTTGGCAGCCGGCCTAAAGCAGTGAAGCAGTTGGCAAGCTGGGGTCACACTTTTGTATGTCAAGGAATCCACGGGCTTTCAACTCGATATTTGCACAGGGATTCAAAGGTTGGTACACAAGTGGCGGTGATGTGAGGATGGGGTGGCTCAAACCCAAGCCTCACAAAATATGTAAGTAGACTCACGCTACCGTATGAGGCTGTTAACCAGGCAAAACCCCCACACCCAGCCCAAGTGTGGTGGTTATGTGCGTTTCCTCAAGAACCAGCAGCACAGGCGAAACACCTTTTTAGCCAGTTCTTGAGCCAAAATGTAAAGTCGCATCAGCAAAATAAGGTGCATGACACATGTGCATAAAGGACGTCATGATATATGGTGGTTTCACCTACAAATCAGTAACTATAATACAATAGTTTGAACCCCTGCAAGCATCATCTTGAATGGATTGTGTCCTTTTCCTTGTACTATTTTCTCACTAAGCTCAGAGATAAATCTACTTACCGCCTGCAGTGTCGTCAAATTCCAGTGCAGCACAGCTGAGGTCGTGGCATCCAAGATTCGGACATAGCATCTGTCATAGTCCCAAGTGGGGCCCCGGTTTTTGCCACACCAAATCTTCACCTTGCAGCCATGCAGTGCTGGAGGTCCGCGTTGCACTATGACCTCACCAGAACCTGTGGGGCACTCAGTCACCGCACCGGCTCAAAGGCTGCAAATGATCAGCAAGGCAGCAAGCATGTCACAAATTGACAGCAGGCTGACAGATCAACAACAAACAAACCAAAGGTTCAAAAAAACATACAAATTCTATTGGACAGGGAGACTCTTGCCATGTCTGAAAACATGATGCCAAGCCACGCTTGGTCACCTCTTTGCCGCCGATGGGGCGAAAAGTGCCGAAAACCACAACCCCGGCAAGCTGCTGCGAGGAGTCCAGAACAGAGGGCCTTAAATTGAAACAGAACGTGGATCAGGATGCTGCGCCATACAAAAAACTGCAATTCATAGAATTCGATCTTGTTTTGCCCTCATTTTGCCCATGTAATTTGCATTGATATCATTTATCTTGTTTCAAACAAGTTTTTGACACCTCATCACTCATCACTATCTACAGGCAAGACTCTGTCTGGCCATTCGATCCTCCCACTCATTCGGCGCACCAACGCAAGATGACTCCATGGCGTTGGACGGTGGGATCGATGGCTCCGAGTCTGCCTCAGAGTCATTGTCACTGTCCTCGCGCAAGCCTGAGACTCCATTTAGGTCTTCCAGGCGCTCTGCCAACTCTGGTGAATCAACAAATTGCTGACCTATGCAGAGTTCAGCATGAACAAGCAAAGATACTCTAGACAAAAATCAAGGCAGTCCCGTGGCTACTCAAATCAAACCGATTGATGTTCTTGGTTCTAGCATGTTTGAACCCCCAGACCTGACCAGCCATGCTTTTCCAGAACACCACGAAGGCCCTCAGTTTCCACTGCTGCAAGTGCCCGTTCAAGTCTTGGCTGCCAGTGCGCTGCAGGCGCTTGTTGGGACAAGGCCTCTTCGGTAGCTTGGAGGGCATGGTTGAAGGCATCAGCCTCCGAGTCAGGCTCGTGCCACGGCATGGCATTCGAGGCCGAAGCATCCGGGAGGTCGGCTGCGACAGCTGCTGAAGGGACATCCTGTGCCACACTCGGCCTCTGAACTTCATCTGTAGAGGATTGAGCACTACTTGCCGCACCTGGCATCCCGTCAGGGTCCTGCTCAATCCGGCATGTTGCAGTCGTGACTCTTTGCGCCCCTTGGAGGCATTCACCCGATTGGCGCTTCGTGCCCTCAGGGGGAGCCTGTGGGCCCTTTGTGCCCTCGTTGGGCAGCGCGGGCTGAAGCAATATCAGCAGGTGGCTGTGAAACCTATCCGCACCTACCCACTCATCATAGTTCGACCCGTAGTCATTGTAGTTCACATACACAGGGGCGCTGGCTCTGTCTTTATCATCTGAGACCCGCAAGACCGTGCACTGGAAGAGTTTGCCACTGCTAGCATCCTCCACTGTTGCCTGGGAGCCTATCTCAATTTTGGAATAGTCAGGTACCCACACCTCCTCCAGGGGAAACCACCCGACCTGGCAACGGCCTACTTGGCCGCGTGCCCAGTAGCGCACTTTCAGTGGTACCGGATCTCGAGTTGAGACAGAGGAGATGCTCAGGACCTCTCCAGGCATCCTCAAGAAACCGTCCTTCACACAAACCACCATGCCTGCTTGAAGCTCAACATGCCCGGTGGTAGGCGTCCTTGTCTGGTGGTGTTTCCACTTGCAGCTTGTGTTGAAGCCACATGGCAAACCCGGGAGATCCTTGTGCACAAAAAGCCTTTTCCCATGATAGTGACTGTGCTTGCTGCGGCAACTTCCCATCAGCCACAGGCAACACACCACTGTCGACTCTGCCCAAAGATCGCATGGCTCTTGGTTCGGGTGCTGGGCTGTTTCTGATTGGTGCCCCTTGCAAACATCGTTCCACGCAACAAGCTTGACATGTTCCAGTTCCAGGCGATCGATTCCAATCCACTCATCCGTGGCAGATCCATAGGAACTGTAGCGAACCTTCACGGGTGCACGGAGCCAGTCTTTGCTCTGGGACACTTCCACAACATGGCAGGAATATGTTCGGTTCCCCCGCCAAGCTGTGACTTGCATCCCTGGGTGCGAAGATGCGTAATCTGGAATCTGCAAACGATCCATCGAAATCCATTCCTCCTCCTGGCGTGGCCCGCAGTACCTCAATTTCACATGTGGCGAAGAAACTTCTACGACTTCCGCGCACAAGAGCTTGCCACCGTAATCCACGCAAACCAGCATGGAAACAGAGACGTCGGATACAGAGCTTACCTGTGCCCCTCGCTTTGTCCATCCAGAAGTTCGCCAATGATCTTGACTTGGAGCCAAGGCGTCTTGCCTGACACCAGGGTCTTGCTGGTCATGCTGACTCTTCCAGTGAAATTGGTTCTCTTCATTCCAGCCAAACTTGGGATCTTTGCTGCCAAAAGATGTTTCCCTTTGTTTGGCGACAGCTTCTTGCTGGTGACTGACCGGCGTGCAAAGCTCTGGACCTTGAGCCGGGGCACATGAGGAAGACGCAGCGCTAGTGCTGAAAGTTTCACCTCGGGAATTTGGCAAGTCCGATTTGTGCCAGCGGCTTGGATGGACCTCTGGGTTTTTGCAAACTTCCACACGCACATCAAGCATTGAATCGCACCACTCTTGCGAAGTGCGAAAAAGAGGCTTGTCCAAATGCCAGGCTTCCGTAAGTTTCCCATGCAATTGAACTCCAAGGCCATCCACCATGGTAGTGATCCTTGCAAATTGGTCGGCAACCTCAGGGTCTGTGGCATGATACAAACGGCATGGTGCCCAGACAGTTCGATATCGCCACATGCCTTGCAGAGCACACAGGGCAAGACCACGGCGATGTCCTCTGACAATGTGCAGCCCATGTTCATCCACGACAACCTGCAGAGGTTCGATCTCCTCTGGAGGCTGTCTCCCGCTCAACATGTCATGAATCAGTTCATAGACAGAACTGTCCTGCAGAGCAAAAACTTGCGAAGTTGCAAAGGTCTACTTCAATGGATTTGAGATGAACGGGAAGTAAGTGTTCAAAATAATTCCAAGAGTTACAGTACAACTTTCTGAATCCACAGGAGCACTGTTTTTTACGACCAAAACATAACCTGTGAATACCATTGAAATGTCCTTGTGTCTTCCGGATGTGAATATCATATTCGGATGAACCTTCCCCTGGATGGAGCGCAGGCGCCAAATGGGAATCAGGACCACACAGCCACTGCCAATGCTTTGTGGATCCGGCCTGGGGAAGTTGGGCCGTGGTTCCAACATGTTCGAAGAAAAGATCGTCGGTGTAAGGAAATCCAAAGGAGACAAAACCGGCATCAGACTTTTACATTTTCAAGCCTGAATCCATTTTCAATTCTAAGTTGAGGGCTCAACGAGTAGGGAACATGACCGTTTTCACAACAACAGGACAGGCCAGGCGAAGAACACTTCTGAAATGTAATCTTTGAGCCTACTGGTTTCGAATAGATTGCTGTGAAGTGAAAAAAATCAGCAGCCAAATGAGGGGAAGCAAATGCAAGCACCACCAAAAACAAAAACGGAAGGTTTTCATGAATTGACGGTCCAAGATGCTGGAAATCCACGACCTCATCTGCAAATGGTATCAATTGCAGCACTGCCGATTTCTGGGGAGCAAATGGTGGACTCACTCGGGCTGCTCCTTCGTTGGGTTTCAGGGTCTTTAGTTTCGCATGTTCCTTCATGATCACACGAAGATGGACCTTCTTCACCACATCCTTGAGGTCCTGCTCGAGATCTTCACTATCCTTGGGTAGGGGAAACTGACAAAAGAAAATTCTGCTATGGTCCAAACTGTAGGATGAACAAATTCAACGTTTTTCTTGGACAAACAAGTCACTGTTTCCATCAAAAACTGTGAATTGTATCCCAGATTTTCGAACTCGGCAAAGTATACCTCCAAATCTGCATGGATATCCCGCAACCATTCTCGGATGTGTGGGTGCGAAATCGCCATGCACGCCGATGGCTTAGCACACAGGCATCAGTGGGAAGAGCAACAGGCTGAATTTTCAAACGATGATGAACGGTGGATTTTGATCTTACCCATCCACTTCATACAAATGTCGAGACATTCTCAAAACCCAACGTAAAATTTCAGGAAACAACCATCGGGTGTCCATCGGTGTTCACCATTGGTTGTCCAAACATTTGAACGGCCTTGCTGTGTCTTGTATATAATGCCCAGTTAAGCACACAGGTTCTGCAAATTGGGCAACTGGAGCCAATGCGGATTTTCTTGTAATATGCAACCATCTGGCTGATTTGCTAGCCTAAACACGCTGACAAAATCAACTAATACAAACATGAAAAAGTTTTGTCGTATGAATTTGGTGGTTGATTTTTTCCTGAAAAATAAAATGGGGCATTTTCACATTATTGATTTCCCAATGGGAGGCAGCGAGAACAGGCGCAAACATTTTTTCAGGGGAAATCCCGAAACAAATTCATGGACTGTATAGTGCCAAAATTAAAACCATTGAAAAACAAAAATACAAACAATATCAGAGAAACAATATGATCAATACACCCCGTTTCACTCAAGACTCCGTTCATTGAATGAAAAAAACGGTTTAAAATTTTGAAAATATGAGGTTCGTGATATAGTGAGTTCGATTTCACGCGCGAACCTTTTCACGATTCTGAACATTCCACCTAGTTTCAAATTCTACAACCTTGCCAGCATTTTGCGTTGTTACTGAGTTTGTTTCGATTTGTTGCCATTGTTTCTTTGCGTCTGTGCATTGAGGGAGTTGATTCCTTTGGCAATATTTTTTTCAAGAGAAGGCATGCGCAAATTTTTGACAGGTTGTAAACATAACTATACATTGTGATTTCCAGCAAAAAACAAAAACCAGGCCGCGTAGCGCAGATCGCAACAAAACCAGCCAATGAAACCATGCGTGCCATTTTGTACCTCCATGGTCTGATAGATTCATTTTGCCCAACTCGTCCAGTGAGATGATGTCTACATTTTATGTGTCCTTTTTGTTTTTTTCCCCCTTTCCTTCTGTTCGATTTTCCTTTTCGGTCGTTTCTCATCGGTTCCTATTCAAGCCACCCTTCTTTTCGGGTTCCCGCAAGCGATCCAAACCTTCTGGCGGTCCAAAAATGCAGCGGACCTCACCACAATGCAGCCCACTTCGCCCCAGTAAATACGTGGCATCTCCAGATCTAAAGAACCGTGGTGGCCACTCACGCCCTGTCGTAATCACCTAAACTGCCCCGCATGACACTGTACATATGGGCATCTAAACACATGCCAACCAATATATGGCATCTAATTCTTGGTATTTTTGAAGTTCACAAAATGGTTTCCGTTGTTTCAATGTCCCAACCAGAAATTAAATCATATGATTGACATGCAACACAAGCATTATTTTTAGCGTGGTGCAAAAAATTAAAGGACCGGATAACCCCACAAGTCAACTTCTTCCAATAATGAGCACCAAAGGTTGTAACTGGGACGGGGAAGGAAGGAAAGACAAAGGAGGTGGTGAAACAGTTGTGTGTAACAAAGTGGTATGTGTATGTATGTCTGTACGTATGTATGTATATATGTATATATGTATATATGTATGTATGTGTGTATGTGTGTATGTATGTATGTATGTATGTATGTAGGTATGTAGGTATGTAGGTATGTAGGTATGGTAGGTATGGTCTGGTCTGGTCTGGTCTGGTCTGGTCTGGTCTGGTCTGGTCTGGTCTGGTCTGGTCTGGTCTGGTCTGGTCTGGTCTGGTCTGGTATGGTATGGTATGGTATGTATGTATGTATGTATGTGTGTATGCATGTGTGTCAACTTTTTCCAATAATGAGCAGCACAGATTGTAGCGCAAAACCAAAGTGGATGTCTCCAAGTGCACGCCTGCCACGCAAATGGCATGCCGTTGGATGCCACCAAGTGCCACGCCTGCCACGCAAAGTGCTGTGAAAGATGGCGTGTGACAAAGTTGTGTGTGAACGATGGTGTGTGACAAAGTTGTGGGTGAAAGATGGTGTGTGACAAAGTTGTGTGTGAAAGATGGTAGTTGACCACGCAAAGCGAAGGTGGATGTCACCAAGTGCCACGCCTGCCGCGGCGCACCGGCGACCAAGCCCGCCCAAGCGCGCCACCACAGCCAGCCCAGTGCCATAAGTGCCACGCCTGCCACGCAAAACCAAGGTAGATGCCTCCAAGTGCCATGCCTGCCACGTGAAACGAAGGTGGATGCCGCCAAGTGCCACGCCTGCACGCAAAGTGCCACAGCGTCACCGACGATCAAGCCCGCCCAAGCGCGCAACCAGAGCCAGCCCAGTGCCATAAGTGCCACGCCTGCCACGCAAAACCAAGGTAGATGCCTCCAAGTGCCACGCCTGCCACGTGAAACGAAGGTGGATGTCGCCAAGTGCCACGCCTGCCACGCAAAGTGCCGCGGCGCCACCGGCGACCAAGCCCGCCCAAGCGCGCCACCCAGAGCCATCAGTGCCACGCCTGCCACGCCAAACGATGGTAGATGTGAGTTTGTGCCACTCCTGCCACGCAAACTGCCGCGGCGTCACGGGCGACCAAATCAGACCAAAGCGCGCCACCCAGTGCCATCAGTGCCACGCCTGCCACGCAACGCATGTGAAAGATGGTGTGTGACAAAGTTGTATGTGAAAGATGGTGTGTGACAAGGTGGGTGTGAAAGATGGTGTGTGACAAAGTTGTATGGGAAAGATGGTGGTTGACAAAGTTGTGTGAAAGATGGTGTGTGACAAAGTTGTATGTGAAAGATGGTGTGTGACAAAGTTGTGTGTGAAAGATGGTGTGTGACAAAGTTGTGTGTGTGAAAGATAGTGTGTGACAAAGTTGTATAAGCTGTGTGTGAAAGATGGTGTGTGACAAAGTTGTATGTGAAAGATTGTGTGTGACAAAGTTGTGTGTGAAAGATGGTGTGTGACAAAGTTGCCTGTGAAAGATAGTGTGTGACAAAGTTGTCTGTGAAAGATGGTGTGTGACAAAGTTGTATGTGAAAGATGGCGTGTGACAAAGTTGTGTGTGAAAGATGGTGTGTGACAAAGTTGTATGTGAAAGATGGTGTATGTGAAAGATGGAGGGCGGGAGGCGGGAGGCGGCCCGGGATACAGAATCAAAAACAAGAACCCCACACAAAGTTGTGGGGAATAACAAAAATCGAACTTGAAATCGAACTTGACTGACTATGTCATTGATTCGGTATGCCGGAGCGACCCAAGCAGCAAACATCATCGGATGATGAGGTGATAAGTTGCGCAATGCAAGAACTTGACTGACTGCCATCAGTGCCACGCCTGCCACGCAAAACGATGGTAGATGTGAGTTTGTGCCACGCCTGCCACGCGAAACGAACGTGGATGTGACATTGTGCCACGCCTGCCACGCAAAGTGCCGCGGCGTCACAGGCGACCAAATCAAACCAAGCGCGCCACCCAGTGCCATCAGTGACATGCCTACCACGCCAAACGATGGTAGATGTGAGTTTGTGCCATGCCTGCCACGCGAAACGATGGTAGATGTGAGTTTGTGCCACGCCTGCCACGCAAAGAGCCGCGGCGTCACGGGCGAACAAATCAGACCAAGTGCGCCACCCAGTGCCATCAGTGCCACGCCTGCCACGTAAAACGATGGTAGATGTGAGTTTGTGCCACCCCTGCCACACAAAACGATAGTAGATGTGAGTTTGCGCCACGCCTGCCACGCAAACTGCCGCGGCGTCACGGGCGACCAAATCAGACCAAGCGCGCCACCCAGTGCCATCAGTGCCACGCCTGCCACGCAAAACGATGGTAGATGTGAGTTTGTGCCACGCCTGCCACGCAAAGTGCCGTGGCGTCACGGGCGACCAAATCAGACCAACCCAGAGCCTCCAATAGTCCTTAATTAAGGAGATACCTTAATTAAGGTATCCAGGATTTTCTTAATTAAGGACTTTTGGAGGAACTTCTGGAGACCTTAATTAAGTGATCTGGCTTTGGTGCTGTTTTAGTGGTATAATGGCTAAGTGTGGCAAAATTGTCATATGTTTTTTTCTTTGCTGTCCTTTAGAAAGTTTTACTTTTTGCAAAACAAAATAAGTAATAATCTCCTCATAGGAGATTTTGTTTTTCTTTACAGAAACTATCCTCTGAGGAGGTTTTCTTTCCTCATCTCTTTGTAGAACTCAAGATGCATACCTGTGCATGAGGTCTCAGGTCATGGGCAAAGAGATGAACAAAAAACAAATGTGTGCTAGTGTCTTCTTCACAAGAAATCCTTTTTTCCTCTTCATGCAACTGGAAGTCTTGAGACATGAATTTGTACAGTGTATTTCTGGAAGTTGAAGCAATTGGCATCAAACCTAATTAAAATCAATCAAGGGAAAGAAAAGAAAACACCAAATGGCAAAGAAGGTTCTCCCATATCTTGATCTCTATATGTCCATGCAATTCTGAGAAGGGCAGCACCCATCAAATTCACATGGAAGAGGTGGTGCTTGGGCTTCAACCTCCAAAACATCCCTTCAGGATCGAGAGGGAGACATAAAGTAGCAGGAATCTTTGTCCTGCTGTAGCTAATTCTTGTGGGTTGAAGGTCTCTGGACAGCAGGCTGCATTCAATCATGGAAAATAGTGTTTTCAAATATGTTGGACTTGTCCAGCAATATGCTTCTGCAAATTCCAAGCTCCATGGTATGAGAGACCGGGTTTCTCCAGCAGATGCTCTAAGCTTGGGAGCTGAGACTTTGTTTGTTTTTTGTTGATCCTCCTGGGCATTACAGAACTCAACCTCTTGTCTTTGCTGGAAATCTATCAAGGAGGAAAAAAAACAAATTCCCTAGAAAATCTTGGGCAACTCCCAGGTCACAAGCATGCAGCCAATCAATAACAAAGCAATCTATACCTGGAAGCCTGGTGCACAAAATAATGCAGATATTTGTTTCCTTCTGTTATACAATCAACAAAATAATCCATGGTGGTTTTTCTCTGCATGGCTCCTCCA